CACCTGTATTGTCCAAATTTGATTTACTATACAAAATATGCGAAAATAAAAAGAAGGTTTCGTATAAATAGCAGCCCTGTAAAATCCAAGTCCAATCAAAAAATGTTGTAGGAACAGTTGTTCAGAATGGAAAAAGTCGTGGCGATATTCAATTGTTATTTGATTCGGTTCAAGTGACTTGAAAGGTTTCGCAAATGAACAGATGTAAAATGAAAATATTTTAACGTAAAATTCCCGAGGTTATTAAAAGATAAAAAAAAAAACATTTGAATATCGCCGCGATTTCTTGCATAGCCCCATATTTTGGTATTCTGAACAACTTTCTCAAAATTTTTTTTCGAGTAAACCCATATTTTACGGGGCAGCCATTTAAACGAAAGCTTCTTTTTTATATTTTTGAATGCTCTCTATAATAAATCAAATTTAGATAACGCAGACGAAACAGATGAAAAAGAGAGGCGCGGATAGGTACGAGACGCTTAGAACAATTACCTTAACTTCTCATACGTCAAATATCTTAACTAGAATTGTACAGAGGAGGATGGAAAAAAGGGCAGAAGAAATTAGGAGATGATCAATATGGGTTTAGAAGAAATAGAGGAACGCGGGAAGCAATTCTAGCTTTACGGGTAACAATAGAGAAAACGATAGAAAAAAGAAAAAGGCTGTTGACGCCTGGTTTGACGAACTTTGTTGTTTTATGATTAAAACTCACGTTAGCTTTTTAATGTTGTGTCTATTCAAACTTGCGACTTAAATAAAAACTTAACGCTAAAAAAGCTTGTAATATTGTTTGACTAGGTCTGATGATTCTGATTGTCTATGATTGTCTGTGATTGTCACTGATGATTGTCACACGATTGTCACTCTCATGAATATGATGATTGGGCTTTTATCCTTTTTTCGGATATTAACAAGAATTGTGTTAAGAGGAAGAGTAGGTGGAGTTAGCAAGGTTTAGAAACATTCAATGGATTAGTAAAAGAAGAAGTTGTTGGTTCAAGATAAGAAAGTGGGGTATAAGGGGGTACGGTTTGATAAGAAGAGAAAGGGAGAGATGGGTGTACGTGCGAGTGTCCAGCGTGCAATAATTCTTCGTATCAGATGTCAATGATTTGAAGGTGATCAATTGTATCGACTATTGCACACCAACGAAAATAATAATAGATTTTATGACTGCAAAATAAAGATAAGGAATACGAAGCAATTGAAATATTATGATGTTGGGATAAACCCCTAATGACACACCTATCATTAATAGTCAACATTAAAATACACAATAGAAAAGGTACCTAAGAATAAACTAATTGTTTGCAAAGTAAACAAAATAACATAGTCATAAACCTCATTTAAAGTAAAAGTAACCTATTTTAAATAGCTAAGAACCCAGTTACAACTAAAAGCCATAACGAAACAATAGATACAGAACGTCGACACTCAACAAAGGCGTACTTGTAGATTTAGAAAAAGCTTTTGACAATGTTAAATGGGACAAGATGTTAAATATACTTAAAAATGTAGGGATGAGTTACAAAGATAAAAGATACTTAGTTAGTATAAAGAGCAACAGGCACTTATAGCAGCTGGGGCTGCAACGTACAGAAGTGAATATTAGGAAGGGGTCACACACAGATGTACACCGTCACCGCTACTACAACATCATTAAAGATAGTACAACTGTAGGGATATATATACAGGGGCAAAAGATTAGTATGCTTAGATTTCCAGATGACATAGCAGTATTAGCATCTAGCAAGGAGTTACAGATAATTTTTAAATAAAATGGAAGCAGTATTGACAAAACAGTACTGCATGAAAATTAAATAAAAGTAAAACAAAACTACTGATATGCAAGGGAGGAAAATGTAGGGAAAGCGCGAATATAGGGATAGGAGACTAAAAATTAGAAGAAGTGGTCGATTTTAGATATCTGGGAAGTCGGATAAGTCAGGACGGAAGGAGTAGTAAGGATATAAAGCAGAGAATAGCGCAGGGTCGAGTCGCCTTCCATGAAAAGAAATCACTTTCATGCTCGCGAACGGTTAATTAAGAAATTCGAAAAAGGTTCTTAAAGGGGTATGTTTGGGGCACGGCGCTGTACGGGTGCGAAACATGGACAGTGGGTGCGGCGGAAAAGAAAAGGTTAGAAGCGTTTAAAATGTGTTGTTACAGGCGAATGGTGAGAATACCGTGGATAGAGGAGGTTAGAAATGAAGAGGTATTATAAAGATTAAGAGAACTGTGGACTCTATGGAAGTCAACAATAAATAGGCGAGATAGGTTAGTGGACACCTTCTCAGACATTGTCTTGTCGGTGACCTTTAGATTTGCCGCGTTAATAGTAGGTACTCTTGATTTGAACCATTTACATTTACACTTCACAATCGAATATACAGCATCCTCTAATTGTTGACTTCGACGTTGTAATTTCTCGTACCGATCGTCCATTGTGGTCAAAGATATGAAAGGGTCGATGAGAGCCAGAAACACCTACGTCGGTATTTACCCATCAGATAAATTAAAATATTGCAGGGCCTACTTTACAGATGGTTCTGGATCGGAAGGTACTGAACCAGAAGAAAAAGCTTCGACAGAAGTACTCGAATAAGGCGACGCCATATAGAACTTATCAAGTATAACGTTAGTGATCATCGACTGTATTTATTTTGTTTCTGATTTGCAATTATTGTGCATTATATTGTTACGGTTTTAATACTATACTTTTCTCGAGGACGAGAAAAAGTCAGATTGGCCGAACTGTTAGCGTTTTTATATTCTTATTTATTTTTTATCAAGTTGCTTATAAATTTTGTTTGTTGGTTATGATTTTGCTAAAAAAAATATAATGTGATGTATCGTGATTAACAAGAAAGTAAGTTCGAAGAATAAGAGGAATGGTAGCAGCCGCAGCCACTCTTGTTCTCGTTTAATAAAAAAGTGTAAACGTCAAAAAAGGAGTATCATTAGTAAAGTGCGATTACACAAGGTTTAAATATTAAAAGAGTAAACAACTGACTGTAACATAAACACCTTGTACCATATTTAATCTACGATAATCTAACAAAAACAAACATTACATATGCAATACCTCTACAAAGTGATGCTGTTAATTACCAACTGGATTGAACGCGACGTTGCGTTGTCATACTTTTTACCAGGGCCGGAATTGAATGTACCTCTACTGTCAACTACGTTTTTTTCTAATACGTAAAATTTATAAACATATAAACATTTACATAATTTTCTTGTTTTATAGTGCCCTATCAATTCCTTCAATCTCTGATCTTATTTTTGTTACACCCTTTAGCAGTTAATTCGGTTTGAACTTGAGTAGGCGAGAAATTTCTCATGTCATGTCCATGCCCTTTCTTTAAAGGTATTACAGGAACCTATCTATCGACACCATCAAAACATTCTTGAGTCCTTAAATTGATTTTTACTTTTAACCTTAATATTGGGCTACTTTATTTTCTTTTCTTTAAAGTCAAATAAGTAAATCCAAACAGCACCAAAATGCTTGACTTCAACAAGAGTAGCTATCAGTCTTGATTAAAATCAGTCAGCTCTTTCACGATTCATGAATTATGACAGTCGCCGGTTACTTTCAGTGGCATCGTTACTTTGACCCTTAAAGTACAAGTTAAGATGATTGCGACATTCTTTCCTAGTTACCAAGAAATTAATAATTGTTCTAGGATTTTTACTATAATCCGTTATCTTTGATTATCCTATGAAATACGAGGGTGGATTGATAAGTTTCCGGCCTAACCAAGAGATGACGCCACTAGGCCTACCTTGAGGTGACATTCTATAGTACCATCCTTGGATAGCTTGTAGCTATAGTTTCAGCCCGATCTCCTNGGTCATGGTACATATTCACTTACATCTGGAAGGCTTTTGGTACACACCAATCATAATTTTATTAAAAAAAAAAAAAGATACAGTATGAGTAGATTATGTATACCTACTCTGTACCCTCTTCCAATATGAGGTTATGTTCGTAGAAGTAAAGCAGACGTGTCAAGGTGGTCATTATAGATCCGATTTGTTTTTTTTTGTGCATATAGGCTACGTCAGGAACATTGCTTTCATAGTCAATTGCCATCCTCCTATTAACGAATGTTAGTATGGTAAGAAAATCACGTTCAGACGCGTGTTTTTCCAATTCCTTACAAAGGCACTCAATAAACCATGATCCATTTAAAGGGCTTCGCCAGGAGTAATAACCTACAAATGTGTTTTAAAATTTAACGGTTGCGCAACACTTTAAGTAAACAAAAGTTAACAAATTTTGTTCTACTTCACAGGAAAAAAGCAACATTAAGTCTTAGGTTCAAATATAAGCAAGATTAAAACCTAAAGAAATTAATGGAACGTGCTAATATTGCATGCAGGAGGGCAGAATTTTACGAAAATACTACCATAACATGAGCACACGTTGTTTCTGTTAATGAAACTTGGATTTTTTCAAAAGCCATCAAAATAAGGCCGTAGCAAGATGAAAGTCCAAAAGGTGTTACAAATCTGAAGGCTATGATGGTAAACAATTTATAGTTTCGTATCCTGGTTCTA